ATAGGATATGTATAAATAAATAAAAACAAATATTCAAAATAATTTTTCTTATGTCACACATACACAAAATTAAAATATCCAACTGTATGCTTAACACTTTTTAAGATACCTCAAACAAAAATGTAATTATTAATGTAATCCCTTTTAATTATAAAATTTCCTAAAATCAGCAACGTAAAGAACTGAGAAAATTATCTGGATGTTCTGAAACAAAACATGTAACTTCAAATCTTAAGTGTTATTTCAAATATTGCTTGAGTTCTTTAGACATTGAAAACCTAGATCAATGGTAGGGGGTATGTGTTTGTGTATGCATGCATTTGCATGTACTATGTATATGCCCTAAATTATCTTTTAAATAATTATAATTTCCCACTGTGTCCAGGGTACTGGTCTAAGAGTGAATCAAATAATTTTCAGATATAGGCTGTAAAAATCATGAAAAGAAACCACTATACCTAAACAAAGACTGTGAAATCATTTATAATTCAGTCCACCACGTTCTTGGGATTGTACAGTCCAATAACGACATATAAATCAGGAAGACCTCACTGAACATTAACAAAGATTTTTTTTTTCACTCTCTGGAATGGAAAAATGCATGGTCTTTTTCTTGTAAACCCTTACATAAAATGTGAGCCCTGCAAAAGCTGTGTTCAGGGGAGGTGGGATTTCAAACGGATAGTGACCAGGTGGTGTGGGAACTCTATTGTGTAGGGAATATCAGAGGGGGCTCAAGTGTACCCTTTTCAGTAGCAAGATTCCCCCCAGTGCATCCAAATCAGTCATTTGCTTTGCAGCAAAGAGGGTATTATACAAAGCACTAAATTGAGGGATCCAGAAGGTCTAAAGTTTTATTAAAAATTTATAAAAGACTTCTGGATACCATCTCTGGGCACAATTACCACTAGGACTACAGCAAAGAAAGTATTTGACACTGATGAAAAAAACATATTATTTGTCTAGAATTAAGAACTAAAGGAAGAAAAAAAAAAAAAAAACCATCTGAAGATAACCTGAATGGTGTTTATAATGACAAGACAAAACTCCTCCAGGGGTAGAGACTGGTAGTTGAGATGCAAAAAGGTTATTATTATAAGAAATAATAAGTATACAAAGGCAAAATTTTAGGTTCCTAAGAAATGGTATTAGATTATCACTTAGTACGATGAAGTGACTAAGGTAAAAGGAGAAAGAAAGTCAAAGGTTTATTGCCACTCTAGAAAAAAAAATATTCAAAGGAGGACTTCAAAGCTTAATCCTTGTTTACTCTGATTTAGTGTAGACTGACCAAAATTATCTTATTTAACAAAAAACAACCATGTTATAATTTACCAATAATTTGTAGGGTGACCATATTCAAAATAAACATATAAGAATAAAGAAACTTCCTAGATACCAATAACTGGTTAGAAAAGAAAAAACATATTATTCGCAATAGCAACCTAAAAATTATATATGTAGAAATAAATGTCAAAACTTTATTATAGAAAACCACTAAAATAAATAAAAGTTGTATCATGTTCATGAATGGGAAAAAATAATATTGGAAACAGTATAAATCACTCTAAAATTATTTATAGGTTGACTATCACTCAAATTAAAATCACCAACAATTGTGCTTTTTAAGTGACAATGTGATTCTGAAATTCACTTGAATGGTAGGAAATTAAAATCTAAGAACATTAAAACAAAACAAGATGAAATGAAAAGCAGAAAAAATTAAGGTGGAATTAGTTTCACTAAATGTTTAAAAATATTATAAAGCCACAATAACAAATATTTTGACCCAACAAGCAATAGTCACTGATAAAACTGAACAGAAACTCAGAAACTGAGATATTCATCCATATGAGAATCTAGTATGCAATAAAATAGTAACAAGATCAATGTATAAAAAAAATTATTTGATAAATGGTGCTGGGATAATTAGCTGATAATTTAGAAAAATATAATTAGAACTTCACCTCTCAACATGAATCAAAATAAACTAAAGATGGATAAAGGGGTTAACTTAATGTAAAAAGTAGCATTAAAATTTTTAAATATATGGGCCGGCCCAGTGGCGCACTGCTACTGTGCGCCGCTTGGGAAGCGTGGCAGGCGCTCCCGCCGAGGGTTCGGATCCCACATACAGACCGGTTCCCGCTCACTGGCTGAGCGAGGCATGGGAGCAACACCGAGGGTTGCGATCCCGTTGCCGGTCCCCGGTCCGGTGCGGGAGCGACACTGAGGGTTGCGATCCGTTGCCGGACACGAAAAAAGACAAAAAAGGAAAAAAAAAAAAATTTTTAAATATAGGTGAGTAAAATCAGAAAATGACTGCAAATAATAAAGGCAATGAGGAAATCCTAAAGAGAAATACAGATTGCAAATCTAAAAATAGTTCTATATACATAACAAAAATTTTAAGTTAAATAAAACTGCCACAAATCTGACAAAGGTTCTATATAAAATGTAGAATAACTCATATAAGCCAATGAAGAAAACAGTAAACAAGCGCAAGGACTTGGATGACTTGAAACAATTTATGGAAGAAGAAATATAAACAGTTAATGAATGTATTTAAAAACCTCAACCCCACTAGTTATTAAAAAAAGGAAAGTTTAAAAGGAAAAAAAAAATCCCACCTAAGCAAAGTTATGTAAAATGACAATTCTCAATGTTGGTCAGTGTGTGACATAAAGGCCAACTTTAATCAGTGCTGGAAGAAGCGTACCTTAGCAGAATTTCTCTGAAATGCAACATATTAAGAACCATTGGGCACTTTTTAAAACCATTGGCCCAGGAATTTATTCTATGAAAAAAAATAGAAATGTGGAGAAATTAATATAGAATGCTTCTTCAGAGCATTGCTCATACTGGCCAAAAACAGAGGGAAGAAATGATCGACATTAACAGATGAGCAGATAGAGTACAATAGTACACAACCATTAAAATAGTATTTTGGAAGAACACTTTGACACAATTTGGTGAACAGAAACAGAGTGTTAGGTAAGACAAAGAAAAGGAAAACAGAAAAAAGGACGGGGAAGGAAAAAAGAGGGAGAGAAGAAAGGAGAAGCAAGAAGAGAAGAAAGGAGAAGCAAGAAAAGAAGAAAGAAGAGAAAGAACAGCAACAAAAAAAAGCTGTTTGGGTAGGGAACGACCCGAGAGTTCCTAGTGATTATCTCTGTTGTTTTTCACTTCTACCCTTTCATACTTTTGCAGATTCTCTACTGTGGCCATATATTATTTTTATAACTAGGGAAAACATAGTAATTTTTTTTAAACACTATTAAGGATAGAAAATCCATCATGCTGCAGTTCTATCAGTCCAAAAAAGAATTAGACCCTGAGAATATCAGCAGATAGAGGGAGTTAAAATAATGAGAGTTGGGCTATATTCCCAGGATGACAAACTAATGGGTTAGCTTAATTAACTTGGGAGAAAAGTCACTCAATGACTTCTGAATTAGCTACTGAAAAGACTGCAAAGATTGCTTTTGTATACTGGAGATCCACCAATGGGGTAAGGTAAAGAAAAGGGTGATGATGCCATGTCGTAAGTATTTCTGGAAATGGTCTAACTGAGTGATTTCTTTGGTCCTACCTATCCTGACATGGATAATGAACTCCTACTTTGCTCCTGGTAAATTTTGCTGCTGCAGGAACAAAGCTCTCTCCATCTGCATACATATACCCAAATCATGACATACTTAGGTCTTCTTCCTGTCCCTAACTAGTAAGTATGAAACAATTTCAGTGGGATTACTTTACACCTTTTCAAAACAATCTAAACAAACAAACAAACAAACCAGAAAAACCACTCATTTTTTTCCCAAGGTGAGTTTTTGAGCTTGAAGATATTCCAATCTTGTTTGTCTTTCTTTACCTCTTTACTCTCTTAAGCCCGCTTATTAACACTTTCATTCAAAGGTTAAGGGAAAGGAAACCTGTATTATTTTTGCTGCTCCATTAAAATCCGTATGTAGGAAAAGAGAATAATAAAGATGCTCCAAAGGGCTTTAGAAATTCTGTTTTCAAAAATAAAAGAATGGAGGGCAGAGGCTGAATCTAATTAAGTATACCCAAGCATCTTGCATATTAAGTTGTATGTATCCTGGAGCAGGGTCTTAACAAATAAAAAGTTGTTGACTGAATTGTTTCTTTTATCCATGGTATTCCTTTGCCCATGATGGGAATTTATAAATAGAATGTAATTATAATGCATTATAGCACAGATCACATCTGCCAGATGATAAATTCTAGCCACCTTTACGTAATATTTCTCCCAGTAAGCCACCTGAGTTGACAAAACAAACAAACAAAAAAAGCCATCCTCTTTAATAAGTTAAAGAAACAAACAAACTGCATCATATAAATGCACACATGTCATTAGGATAAAAAAAATTAGTGGTGGCACCTGGACTGTTTAACAAATATTTTTACTACTTATCTGGTTTTTGTACTCCATTAAACTATAATCAAAATTGTTACTATCTGTTATTAGGAGACTATATTATGGTTTGTCCTCAGCTGAATGACATGTTTTTAACTGTTACAAAATCCACAGTAATGTCAGACATTTACCAATCTCAACAAGCAAAGCCCTGTTTTTAAATCTAAATCTATTTTAATTTCTATCACTTGAATAATACATACATTGAATTGTTTGTGATTTTACAAATGCTATCCCTTTTGACATAGGTAAATTTGTATTTGAAGGATCTAAGCCTAGATCTTCAGCTGACTTCTGTTTTTCTATAGCCTTATAGTTGAAGTTAAGAAGGAGGTAATATCAAAGCTGGAGATATTTCCTTGAGTTCTTAATTTTTAAATTTCACATTCAAAAGAAATGGCAGTGGCCTCTGTACAGGTCATTTCTCTTGACAGAACGGAAATGGGAAGAGACTCATAAATATTTTTGAAAACTGCCCAGGTATGGCACACTGTGACATGTGATCAATGGATCCTCATGCTTTGATATGTTACAGCGGGAACTTTCAGAAATGACTTACTGGGTTGTACATCTGATTGAACAACTGCTCAGCCTGCTACATTGCAAAGTTGGGGAGGCATTGAAGCACAGACAGGAAAGAAGGAAAGATCCAGAAAAACAGCATTAGCTCAACAAACCCAGTGCATTTGCACAGACAAACTGGTCATTAAAAAAAGAAGAAATTTCAGTTTCTAAACATTCCACAGTGAAAGTGAGAAGCTCTAGGGAAATACAAATGTTGACTTTGGCTCCTCAAAAAGAATAGCTGAAATAAGAAATTTAATGTTTGTGTTACTTTCCCTTTCTCAAGTTAAATAACCCATGAAATAAAGAAAGCTGTCCACTTTGATAATACATGAAGTACTGGCCTCCAGCAATGAATCAGAAGAAGTACTTTTGGCCAAGCCTACTATTTATTACCTGAACTTCAAAGATGGCAATAATAAAAGATTAATTAAATCTTATCACTTAATTTTTGGCTCTTCTTTTCTATTAATACAAGCCTGGATTTTCTATTCGCTCTAACTTCAGAAAAATATAGATTAGCAAATGGCGGGTTACCAATAGCAAAATATCAGTAAGCAAGACATTATCAGAGTAACTTAAATGGGAGAAGAAAAAATTTAAGTCAGTAGGAAGATCACAAGGAACCAAAATACAGTATTATCCATTGCCCATTACCAGTATCTACTGTTAGTTGAAAATTAATATAAAATATTATTTTCAAAAATATCCTATTATGTTCCAAGTATTTTAGAATCTGTAATGTTCTCCTGTCTATTCTGTACATAAGATTTAAATGTTTGTGGATTTAAAAGTACTGAATATTATTCTAAAGAGCAGCCCAGTTATATTTCTTAAATACCTGCACCATTCACTTGGGGCTCAATGTCAAGGTGCAGAAGGTAAACTGCTGTAGGAACTGTTAACTTTGTTTTATGCTGAGACATGTCTTTTAAGAGCCTTGATTTTTTGTTCCTTCAACCAGGATGAAGTAAATGATGATTTTATAATGGTTTTAAAAACACCCTCCACAAGCATGACACCAATTTGAAAATTACTAAAAAGCATAAATCATAATGTTTTGAATTACAGTTGCTTCTCAATTGATTTCTAGTCATATAGGCTAAATTTATTTCTACATTTTGAACCGCGAACACTATTTTGAAAGACAAAATGATCCACATGTCAATAATCAGGTTCTTCTCAACCACTGGGTGTCTATTTAAGACTGATAAATGCACTTAATTATAAAGTACACTCATAACTAGTAGATATGCATTATTTGGTTAGTATTGTTTTATCAGCCTCACTTATATTAGTAAAAATTTCCTCACATGTGACCACTTGACTGTGTCGTTTTTAAGAGGTGAGATGAAATGTGTAAGGGATAGTTCCTTTTCTGCCTGTAAGCATTTTTCATCACAAAGTATGGTAAGATGTCTTAAATTAACACAGTATAATAAAGGATTAAAAGTACTTATGTGTATGAATGTTTTCCATAGCCTTTTATGTGAAAACTCACCTTACCACTGTCAAGCATTGTCCATAAGACAAAAATAAAACTGAATCACCATTTGGACTTCATTGTCACTGGCAGACAAGGTTTCTGTTCAACTAAACACATCTACAATGTTGTGTAGATTTTATGGCAAAAATACCTGGACGCTCACAAATCTTGAGCAAAATTCTACTGGGAATTCATGTTGTATTTATGACATAATAAAACTATTATGTTTTCAGCTTTCATTTAGCAAACTTTATATTTTATTCACAAGTCACATACCCTTTTATTTAAAAGGAGGCCCAGACACTCTTTAAGCTTTTATAGCTGCTTATTTTTCCATGAGTAAATGATGTGTTTATATGCATATTCACATACTGTTGGCTTGTATTTTCAAATATTTCATGTAAATCTCAATTCTTTTTAAGGTGATGGGTACTTGAGTTTTTACAGAACTATTTATTAGCAAAAATTAAAGACTACTGAAAAAATATGTTAACTTTTGAATTTAGTTAATGCTAGTGAGCCAAAAATAACAAAATAGCATCTGCGGGTTAGGCATAAAAATATTTAAATTATAATTACCTTATTTTAACTCACTGAACTATGCACATAGGAGATAGCATAATCAAAGATTATGTACATACTTTTAAAAAGTTATCTTTTCATAAATTAAATAGGTCATTTACAGCAAGACAATAGTTGTTACATTAATTCTGGTGACATGGTAGAATGTTAAAATGCTGTCAGGAAATAACGCTAAAATGTTTACAGGATTTGCTTTGTGAATTTCAGTAGATGGTGCCTACCTGATAGTCTAAGGAAACTATACACTCTAAGTGATCTCTTGGGCAAACCACAGCTATGTTGAAAGAAACCATTGAATTGCATAGAGGCTGGTTTATTACACTAGTCAAGTCGTACATGGAAACTATAAACGTCAATATGTGAACCTCTTCCTTTTAATTATAAGAGGATTCAAATTTGATAGATGACTTACACTGAAAAAGGAGGGTGTCAAGCATGTATCTGCAGAAATAACAAATGGGGTGCCCTGATCTCCATAACCACTCATCATCAGAGGGCATCTTTCATACCCAAGTCTATTTGAAGTCCTCCTCTCAGACTCAGTACACTGCAACTGAGGTAAAGGACCACCATAGGAAGCCAGTAAATTTCTCCCTTTTACAGAGTTGCCTTAGAGTATGCCTCATGATCCCACAACTGTTTAAAAAACTATTTTTCACAGGTTCATGTCTTGATATGCATATACATGTATAACATACTGTTTAACATATTTATATGTGCCAAGAATGTACTCATATATCATGTGCCCAATGCATAAATAGCCAAATCAGTCTCCATCTAAACACCTTCAAATGGGCAATTTAAATTCTTTTATTATTCAAGATTTCTTCTTAACTAAATATTGCTTGAAGTAAGTGAGATATCAAGGGAATTGGGAAATAGATTTTGCAATATAGAGATTTTCTTGCTGTTTTGTTATAAAGGGGTTTGATCTGTATAGTAATATTTTTCTGTATTAGTAAGTAGACTTCCTTAGTGTGAAATTTCTCATGATGATTTCCTAAAATCCCCTGTAAAGTGAACACAGTATAGTCACATTTCAGTTGTACACTGCATCATACAAAAGAGTATATTAAATTTTTAAATATCCAGAATAATTTCTCTACAGATATGTGATTCTTTCACATCCCTGACTATCCGTGTCATGTATTTTCATAACTTTAGCTAATAAATCCCCATTCCAGTGTGCTATGAATTATACATAGTCAAATTTTATTATATGCTTTATTTGATTGTTTAGATTCTCATCATTTCTTTTGAATAAGCTTATAAGTTGTTAGAGGGAAACAAAATGCTTAAACTCATAATGTTATGAGTTTTATGTGAACAATGAGTGCAGACATACCAAACAACACAGGAAAAAAAGTCAAAGGAAAAATGCATGACTGGGAATGCACTCCACAGAAATGTCCAGGTCAGATAAAACACGTTAATGCCACAATCTAAAGATTTTGCTTTCTTTTCAAAGCCTTCTACATACAACAAGCTTTCTTAGACATTAAGGACATTTTGGGTCAAGTATAAATAATCATTCTACAGATATGCTAGGGACGACTATTTTGGTGAAATTTTAGAAATTTAATGTTGTCAGGAAAACTTCTGCGAAGTTCTAATACAAAAATGGACATACTACTGAAAGTAGTGAAAGTTTATTAACATATAATGGGGTGCCCAGATTTTCTGGTTTGTTGCAAACATTTTATCTTTTTTTGATAGTTGAGATTTGCCCAGAGAGTAATGGCTGGTTTTTATAATATTTTTCACTTCTGCTACTATTTTCATCTATTTTTCAACTTTTTTAGACAGGAAACCTAAGATAATTTTTCAGGTTCACAGACAGATTTGATACAGACTTCTTAGGAATAAAGTTAAGAGTGATTTAATTAATTCTTTTATCAGCAGACAGCAAAAGATAAGGGGTTTGTTTCTTTTGAAAACATCTTCCTTTCCCGTTTTATAAATTCATTTTAAAATGAGCATTTTTTTTTCCTTAGACTTCACTTACCTTTTTTAACTGTGCTTCCAATTTGCTACATTCCTCTTTCTTTTGTTCGATGGCTATTTCTAGAGATTTTAATTTGGAGTCCCTTTTCAGCCCTGCAGAGGCTAATGAAGATGCGTGTTCTTTGAGGTCAATTAAACTAGACTGAAAAAAAAAAAAAAAAGAATGCTAGTAAGTAAAACACTGCCATTGCTACTAGCAATGTCTTCAATTTGAATCCATTGATTCTATACATAGCAATAAAGAATGCATTAGACAGAAAGGGTAAATATAGTCTCACTACGGTAACAATAGTCATCTCTGGCCAGGAAATTAAAGTTGGCCTGCTTACAGAACCGAGCAAGATCTAATTGCAGTAGAATCAAATGTGACCAAATGGTGTGGTCAGTAAATGCACATTTCACATCTCAAAGTCATGTTAATGATTTAGGTCCCAAGGTGGTCTTTACATGTCATGACAAAACAGACATCCTGAACCTTCCGTTCACATTTATTGCTTTCAGGTTGTGCAGAGTCTGAGACAAATATGAAAGAAAACACTAACTTTAATGCTATCTCCTCCCCAAAGGACAAATCAAATATAAAAAGAGACATACTATTAAGTTTTTATCAAATTCCACTTCTTTAACAGAAAAAGCTGGTTTTCAAACATCTTTTGGAGAATCAAAAACAAAATTATTTTAAGGGCCGCCGGTTAGCTCAGTTGGTTATAGAGTACGGTGCTGATAACACCATGGTCAAGGTTTCAGATCCCCACACAGACCAGCCGCAAAATGATAAATAAATAAAAGTTATTTTAAAATTTCGAGTAAGGTAGACTTTATGTTCCAGTCCTTTGTAGTCCAGATTCAACAAGTAAAATGAATTCCTCAACTTCTCACATCCAGAAACCAAGAGCTTCCCGGTATAGTCTGAATTCTAAAAACTAAAGAAATAAATATTTGCATATATCACAAAATGTAACTTTACTACCTAGAAGGGCAATGTTCATCATTGAATATGAAATGCTTAGCAACATCTAAGTCACTAAAAGTGTTCACGTTTCATCCAAAATCAGGCACTGTGCATTTCCTTTTTACCCATTTGCAGCACCTAGGATGATACTATGCACAATGTGCTCTCTCAGTAAATGATACTGCCTAATAGTTTATGCCGGGCTACTTCATGGGCACTGGAATGACCTTGATGATGAAAGCCACCGTTACCCAGCAAGGAGCTCCTAATAACCCTCTGAGGGACAGGTTAGCCATTCTCATTTTTCAGGTCAGGAAACTGAGGTTCACGTTAGCGGAGTGTCTTATCAAAGGCTATCTAGCTATTATAGGCAGATACAGGTCTCAAATCCAGGTCTACGCATCTAATTTCAATGCTCTTTATTGTACTGCTTTCCCAGAAATAATCATTTCGTCACGGTGAAAACATATTATCACTGCAACTGAATTATAAGCTCTCTGCTGACAGCAACTATATGTTGCTCTTCTTTATAAATTTTAAATTGCTACGTGTAATAGTCAGTTTTAGTCAAGTTGGCTAGGTTATCAATCTAGGTGTTGCTGTATATTTCACAGACATGACTGATATCTACAGTCAACTGACTTTAAGTAAAGGACATTATTCTTGGTACTCTGAGTGGGCCTGATCCTATCAGTTGAAAGTCCTATGAGTAGAACTGAGGTTTCCCTGAGGAAAAAGAAATTCCACCTGTGGATTGTAGCATTGGCTTATGTCTAAGAGTTTCCAGCCTACCCTTCCTGATGGCCTACCCTATGAATTTCAGACTTGCCTACCCTCCATAACTGTATAAACCAATTCCTTGTATTAAATTACTTAATCTGGTTAAATTTATTCTTATGGTTCAGTTTTTCTGGCTGAGCCCTGACTGACACACCCAGCCCAGTGCCAAGCAAATTATACAAGAATAATAAATATTTCTTGAAATACCTATCTGAAATTTATATAATAGGAGCATTATTTACAAAACTATTCTCATTTAAAGCTTATGCTCCACCATGTCATGAAGATCCCTTTTCAATTAGAAGTATATACATTGATTATACAAATCCACAAATAGCACTTCAAATCAATAAAGAATGTTACAAATGAGCTCAAAGCTTCTGCGCCTTCTGTTACATACAAACTACAGTCATTATAGATCTCCCAAGTCAGAATTAACAGTGAAATACTAAAAGAAGGTTTAAATTCTTAATTTTCCTATCAAAAAAATATCTCTTCTCTAAAAAAACTAGTGAGCTTAAATTTTAGGGAAAAATGGATATTACTTCTGGGCTTCCTCAAAACTCCTCTAACTCAACAATTCCCCTTCTTCATCTGGCCTCTTAATTTAGATTGGACTTTAATTTGTACAGAATTATCAACATCCATGGGGCAAGATAACACTGTGGAGCTGGAAATAGACAACTGTGCAGTGGTACAGTGCAGCAGGGCAAAAGGGTCTGGAACAGTCCTAAAGAAGATGGACATTTCCTGCAGACAAAAGCAAGTGTGAAGGAGCCAATCGCAGAAAATGACACATATCTCAGAGTTGTGGAGACAGAATGAAATAATGTGCATTGCTGTTTCTCACACTACTCCACCAAAGTACCCTCAAGAACACTGAAGGGATTTATAGGTATCCTTTGGAGCATGGGGAGTATAGCCCAAAACATCCTCTTCATAATCCCCAAGAAAGAAGTTTCTTTAAAGTATATTGTTTTACTTTAAAAATGCAAGTGACATTTATATTCTGTATTCATGTTTGCTATAGCATGAAAATACTGTCTTAGTATTTACTTTAAAGTAGAAATAATATTCTGGAAGAGCAGCCACATTTAACTTATATCTTTGTGTCCAGCATGGTACCACATCTAACCTGGGGGTATTCGGTGATCCATTGAGAAGCACAAATGGATATAAAGCACCCAACACAAGGATTCGCATATAACAGAACCTTGATAAAGTGGAGCTATTGTTATCATTATCATCATCATCATCATCATCACATTATTATCATTGATGCTGTTGTTATCTCATGCAAAGGATTATGGGACTTCGAAAAAACACAAAATCCCCTAAGCCACATAAATGTGGTAAGACATAAAAAAAAGTTTCAAGGAGCTACATTGTGTACAGTTAACAGAGCACAGAAGATATGCAGAGGGCATCACCAATGAAGGAAGGTACGGGAAATATTTTCCTTTGACTTCAGGCAGCTTCACGAAAAAAAAGGTTACCATGTTCCCCAAGCCTTCACACAGTCCCTCCAACTAAGCCTCTAATCTCTTGCAGCTGCGATGAATACGGGTTTATGAAGACTATCAACATGGTTCATTTGTTTTTCCAGACTCACCTCTTTCTCAGTCAGTTCAGCCTGTAAAGCATTGACCTTCTCTTTCAGATCTTTGTTCTCTTTTCGGAAGGATTCTATCTCTTCTAGTCTTTCCCGATCATCTCTCTCCCTCTGTTCTTTTAAGCGCTCAATTATTCTCTCCTGGGAGGCAATCATCAAAAAAAAAAGAGGTGAGAGCCCATCAGTGTGCATGTGAAAGCACACTACAAGAGAAAATGAGGCAATGCATCTGAGAGATGTTCTATAGGAATCAACTCACACAAAAACTCAAAATTGGGTTTGTGGAGAGAAGATTTGCATACATCATTTGGGAAAGACAATCAATACAGCTTTGACTTAATAAAATTTAGCATCAAAGGATTGCAAGGGATCTTAATGTTTAAGCTCTGAGGCTGTTCTTCGTTCATGGTGGTATGTGGCAAATTCCTAGAGCAGTTCTAGAAGAGGGAGGTTCAAGCACCAAGTCTGTAGACTTGCTTGCACAGGCAAGGGGAAGAAGTCAAACCAACCTCCTGGCTCTGCCGTCTTTGCTTGTCTTCTCCATTTAACATCAAAGAGCCTTCTTTGGTTTATGATGACTCGTCTCTGGCTAGAAAAGGGTTAGAAAAGGGAGCAGGACCTAGATCCTCCAGGTCTTAGGGCTGGACTCACAGTGAGAACTTACGGCAAATTAAAGAATAAGCCCATCGTGTATGTGATTTTCCCGTGTGTCTGGAGATGTTTACTTCTGTGTTATTTCAGTGGCTTCTTGACAATCAGTAGAGATGCCAAAACACTGGTTGAGTTTGAACAAGTTCAAATGGCAGCTTCCCTTTACTGAGGGCTTGCTACATTCTGGGTGCTCTGATGCACCCTTTTCATCAGTCCCTATCACAATGACAAGGATTAACCAGTGCCACCAGTGACAGCACAGGGATGAGCAAACCCGAGCTCGGAGAGGCCGGCTGACTCAACCATCCTCATACATAGAAGGCCCACTCTGGAATCCAGTGCTCTCTTAGCCATAATCACAATACCACACTGCCACCAACACATGCCTGCAGCCACTCAAGGAGGTCTGAGGATCTGTCTGCCTTCAACTTTCACACTGAAATAAAAACACTACTCTGCTAGACATGTTTTTCCAAAAACGTGGAACCTGACTGAAAACAAAATAAGAGAAAAAAAAAAAGGAAAATTCTGCCCGGATAAAGTTTGAGTTAAATTTCTGAAATTAGTTTTAAATTATCCAATACACATATCTGGACTTCCTTTTGGATTACCATGTTAAAAAATATCGATGCAACAACTACACCTAACGATCCTGATATATCCTTTATATTCTTATAAGTACATAGTACAGGACAATGCCTGATACATAAAACAACTGTAAAACGGCATTTAACAAAGAGGGAAGTTAGTTTGAACACTTAGCCTGTGATTTAAGATCCCCTGAGGAAGCAACTATTCTACCCCAATGACAATAATTTATGTAACCAATTCTTTCCAGGGGGAAAAAAGTACCATTACTGTTTTACAATTATTTAAAAACACCTTAATGAAGTATATTATTACAACACTGGGGGTGAAAATAGAACGAATGAGTCTATTAATTGCCTATATTTGTTTCTTTGTGACTCCAGCTACAGTCCTATTTCACTCTGCTTGTGACATAGGTGAGTGGGTGACTACGTCATGTACAAAAGAAGGAAATAGCCACAGTGCATGGTAAGTCTCTTAAGGGCTTTGAATGACTTTAGTGCTTCAATGATCCCTCACTACCTTTTGCCCGCACTACAACTGGTCACCTGGCCATCAGATCCTCTCCATCCGATCGCTTCCACCACAGGGCTGTTGGAGTGACATTTCCAAAGCTCCAAACTGACCATGTCACCTCATACTTTGGAAACCTTCCCAGGAATCCCTCTGGCTGGATCATGAGGCATTTATTCCCACTCAGCACACTTCACATGGTTTCACTGCATGTCCATGTTCCCAGCCCAGCTTTCCAGAGGGCAGTACTCAAAAACACTGTGACTCTTTTTAACCCAGGGCCAGGCAAACTGCCTAGCATACAACAGGCAATCAGGAAGGCTGACTGAAGGAACAAGAACTTAAATTAGGGATGATCTTGGCTTCAAAGGAAGGATAATAAAATTAAGCAGGCGTGTTAACATCCAGAAGGTATCAGAGTCATTTGGAAAATAGGTCGATTTGCTCGAAGCACTTGTACTATTGACTGGGCATTGATGACAAAAAAAATCAGCAAGCACTACAATGTTTTTAAGTGTTATTGATGATTCAATACTACAAAATATTTCTCCGTCAATCACAAAACTCATTTAACTGTCAGCTGCGCAGGGCCAGATGTCAAAAACATGTGTTAAAAGGCCCTAATATGCCATGATCTACTTGATTAACAACTAACTTGCAGAAATTCCAACAATGTGTTCTTGTTTTAGTCTTATTTGCATTGGCAAGCATTCGTGTGCACTCATCTGGCTCTGCACAGGTCTAATCCATTTGTGCTTTATCTCCGGGTGGAAAGTGAATTGCAGTGGCCTCCAGCTCTGCTATCTGGCTTTCTCAACTGCTTATCTGCTGTGTGGCTACAGCAAGGCTTGGCGAGACCAGCTTTATAAATACAGTGGGTTCTGTCTCTTGAGCTTCTGTGTGTCAATCCTAGAACTAAGTCATACTCAATCTTAACTCACTGAGCAGTGATCTTTTTCATGCACTCTTAACAGTTGAATAAGCTCCTGGAAATTAAAAGGAATTACACACTCCCCAGGATGCCAAGATTCAATAAAAATGGTGAATAGTGCCTGATGGAGTCTACTCATCAGCCAAAAGACAGCAAATAATTAAATGTACCTATGAATCCACAATTTTTTTATTAATCATTTTATTACTTCACAAAATGCCTTGTTTCCGAGGATCTGTTCAATGAAATGTGGATAAAAATGGAACTTGTGAGGGAAAAGCCATCTAGAGGAGATTGTGATGTTGTCAAAAGCACAAAAATCAGAAGGTTTGAGTTTTCGTCCTCTTCCACCATTCATGAGCTGGGTGGCCTTGGGATAGTCCAAGGGAGGCAGCAAAGTCTCAACCAAGGGCCAACTTAGGGTGAAAGTGGCTTCTGGGAGTGCTGGGCTGATAAGTTAGCAGGTGCCACTATTGTTTGCCTGGGCCCAGAAGTGGGGAATGATGCTGCACATGTCCAAAATTTTCATTTCTGGGCAAGTCATTTCACCTCATTAAGCCCATTTCCCATGTGTAAAATGGATGAGCATGGATTTAGTGTTTTTCAAACCGTGGTCTTCAGACTTTGCATCAGAATCCCTGGGCATGCTTTAAAATTACAGGTTCCTGGGCTCCACAACAGAGCAACTAAATCAGAATGTGTAGGAAATGGGACCCAGAGTCTATATTTTAAGAAGCTCCCTAGGTGGTGAGATTATTTGGGTATATATACAAAGGTTTGATACTCACTGTAATAAATACTAAAAATAAATCTTCTATTCTTTGTCCCGTGATAGAGAACCTTGCCAGTTCCTATTTAATAGTTTTATTTGTGCTTTTCAAATATACTAGCATTCTGATTCTGGCACCTTTGAAAATTCCCTACATATAAATTGCTCTGTGTTCACTTTTATTCTTCACTTCTGTGAAAGGCAAATAGGATTTGAAAATGAGCAACTCACAAGCCAAAGCTGGCCCATAAAGCTCTTTTGTTTGACTCAAGCATCATAATTTTTAAAAATCTGAACTTGGACATTTTGAGACAGGTCAGGGACTCTCCGGCTTGCTGCAGTCACCGGCAGCCCCTGCTGTATCCCACCAAACCCACTCCCCTCACTTTTGTTCCCATCTAAGTTCTCAACTCCTCCACTATGGTCCAATTCAGATGTCACGTGCCTGAGACTGCAGATCAGCAAACTGAGTAATTCATTGTCAAGGTAGTTCCAGAAGAGCAGGGAACTTAGAAGTCAGCTAATTCTGGGCCGCCCGGTGGCGCACTGCTACAGTGCGCCGCTTGGGAAGCACAGCAGCGCTCCCGCCAAGGGTTCGGATCCCACATGCAGACCGGCTGCTCACTGGCTGAGCGAGGAGCAGGGGCAACACCGAGGGTTGCGATCCCGTTGCCGGTCCCGGTCCGGTACGGGCGCGACACTGAGGGTTGCGATCCGTTGCCGGACACGAAAAAAGACAAAAAGGAAAAAAAAAAAAAGAAGTCAGCTAATTCAAATGTACATTCTGAAAGTGAGGTACTGAGAGGGCCTGAGAGAAGAGGCTCATCCCAGGTGATGCAGCTATCAACAGTGAAGACAGTCTGAAGCAGCCAGACTCCCACGGACCTCAGCTTTCCTTCCTGGACACCCCCTCAGCCTCAAAGGAAGTACTTAAATAAAGGGAGTAGTTTCAGATTTGAGGATTGCTTTGGGATTTAAACTAGAATAAATCAAACCTTAATAAGGCCCAGAAAGCAAAATGATAAAATCCTGCCAAGAATCCATGACATGGAAATTTATATATGTTTACTTCTGTGAATTTAAGAAAAAAATCAAGAGGTAGAAATGAGCTGACATCATATCACCCAAAAATGCAAAAGGGACACATAATCATTAATAGTTTTTGAATCAACATCCCCATTCCAATTTTACAAACAAAATTACTACAGAGAGCTCTGGAAATAAACTCTTAAAAGTTGAAAACAAAAGAATATCTTTCCCTGAAAAGTCATCTTATTAAATATTCTTATGTCTTCAAATAAAATCTTTAAATTCTTAAAATTTAATCCTAAAGTTATAATCTTTCAGTTTTTAATAGGACCATGAAGACAATCTAGCTATAGAATTACGGTTCTTTTCTTAGCTTGTATATTTTTATCATAGAGTAGTGGTCTTAGACTACACTGTACATCACAATGACCTGGGGAGCTTGCTAAAGTGCAGATTCCCAGGCCCTACTCAAGGTTCTGATTCAGTAGGTATAGATGTGGCCTGACCATTTAGATTTCCAATAGGCACCTCCTGGTGATTCTGAAGTAGCAGCAGAGAAGTCTTCAAGATACACTGGCTTAGAGAAGCTGTGGGCCATTTAATCTAATGTCCCCTTTCCACAAATAGGAAAGTTGAGGCCCTGAGAGAAAGAGTTACTTGCCAGGGTCACCCAGTTAGTTAGTGGCAGAGGTGGGACTGTCCTCTTGGTCTCCTTCCATTTGACCCCACCATCCCAGAGTTTACAGACCACAGTAACAGGGAATATAGGAGATGACGCTGTTACTATAATTCCACATCCAAGAGGAAAACCCCATATCAGCCCCTGCATTTGTGGGCAAGTCCTACAAAATGCTACAGAATCAAAAATGATGAGAAAGACAAAAAGAACATAACAGGGTCTACTCACACATTGTAAGAGTTAAGATTGCTTTTCTTTGTTTCAACTTGACTTGAAAATAGTGTCTATACATTAAAACTAAAAATTGATACATTACATGTCCAGCCAAAACATAAGCTGTCTCTCCTCAGAATTCCTAAAGAACTTGATCTGCATTGATCCTGGGTGCTCTGACACTTACGAAGTGTTGGGGGTGAGGATATAACACATGCAAATAAACTCCAGAGTACAATACCTACAACAGGTGCCCATATAATGAATGATCTAATTTAGCCAGACTGAAATGGACTAGAAATCATTTTTAAAAATAAGTAAACATCAGAATGATCTATTTCCCAATGGATTTCATTAATTCATTCATTCTTTTATTCAAAATTATTCTTTTAAATATGTCAGAAGGAAACCCTCAGTATGGCTTCCCATCCCCTTTAGCATAAATCCATTTTTTTAATCCTTTCTCACAAGGCCCTACAAGATCTTCTGCCTCTCGTCTCCCTCGCCTGCCTTGCAGTTGCTGTGTCCCATCTGCCTAATACATTCTCCCTCCATGAGGGCACATGGCTCACCCCTGGCTTTATTCTGGTCTTTCCTTAAACTCCACCTTCTCAGTGAGGCCCCTACCTGGCCACTCCACTCCAGCACCCCCTGTAACCTTCCCTGCTTTTGTTTCTTTTATAGAAATTATGACCTTCTGAAATCCTATGTATATTACTTATTTATTTATTGTCTGTCTATCCCCTTTAGAATCTACATTCCATGAAAGCCAGGACTTTTGCCCATTCTCTTCTCTGCTGTATCCCCAGTCCCCACATAGTACTTGTCACATGGTGGAGGCTCATTCAACCAATATCCAATATCCTCTGAGCACCCCATATGCAGGTACTGTACTAGGCACTGGGGATGGTGAGCTAAAACACATAGAATATGCTGCTTGGGTTTGGAGTCTAGCAGAAAAGACCAATTAATCATGTAAAAACAGATGAATGAACAATTGAGATTGTGACAGGAGCTCTGGGAAGTTCGTGATGAAAATAAGGGGGGGTACCTAGGAAGCATCCCGAAGGAAATGATTAATAAAATAATAATAATAATAACTGTGATAACTTATTATACCTATAATCCTAAACACTTTACATATTTTGATGTATTTTTTCCTAAACATAATCCAATGAATTAGGTACTATTATTACACACTTTTATAAATGAAACAGAGGAACTGACAGGTTAACTAACTGTCCAAAGTAGTGTCAGGCCTAGGATTTGAACCCAGACAAGTGGACTCCAAAGTGCACATTCTTGACTACTGTACAAACACAACTTCTCAAGAAGCTGACCTCTCAGAAGAAGAGGAATTAAATCTGAAGAGAGTAAAGCACATTCTAGGCTGGGTAATGGTACGCGCAGAGTCTGAAGCAGAAGGGAACAGGATGCACTGGTAAATCTAGAAGGCCAGCATAGCTAGAGCATAGAAAACAAGGGAAGAGAGATGGGGATGAGGCTGGAAATGAAGGAAGGGAGGCAGGGAGGGGGAAAAAAGGAGAGAGAAAGTAGGCATGCAGTCAGAGAGGTGGCTGGTCAGAATAGAGCCACATCAGATGGAGAGATGGACTCTAGGGGCCAGGTTAAGGATTTCAGTTTTTATCATCCTAACAGCAATGACAAGCTAGTGAAGAAAGTTTTTAAGGAGGGCCAAGGGTAATGTGATCAGATTTGGCTGCAGAGTGCCAAGTCTGCTAAGAAGGCTAGAGTAGCGGTGTGAAGGCCCCGCTGGGACTGAAGGTAGTGTTAGCGAATGGAGAAAAGCACGCACATATAAATGTATTTGCATCATCTCTACCTATCCTTGTTTCCCTAAGTCCTGATTTCCCTGATTCTGAGTCCAAGCTTACCTTCTCTGACAGAGCCTCCTCTAATGTTGCCAGCGCAGTATCCGTATTGCTGGAATCCGTCTGCAAGGACTTCACTCTGTCTTTCAGATTAGTCAGTTGCTTGTCTTTATCCCTAAGTTGTTCTTGCAGGTTTTCAATCTAAAAATAAAGATTACCACATTAAATACATATTTTATTACATATCCAGGGCCAAGATTCCTGAAGTAGGTCTGTTTAAAAATATACATATATAGTTGAGATTAGGGAAATTGTCAGTATTATGAGGTTACACTTTGGCTTAGACTCAAGGCCACTTTGATGAGAACTTCATTCTTCCATTTAACTCAACTTTGTATTTAAATGGTGACACAGATGAGTAGAATATCTCCCTCCATACAAATCCAAGCCCTTCTGACATGAAAGCACTATTATTTCTATTTATTTCAATCTCTTTTATAAGACTTTTAAGTCTCAAGTCCATAGAGCTAACCTGGGTACAGTAAACCAGAAAAACGTTTACACAGGATTAATCCATTCATTGAACAGACATTTATTGGGTGCCCATTCTGCACCAAGCATAGTATCAGAACATGGCAGAACCCATGTAATCATTCACTCCCTCTTTTATTCAGTATTAAACTTTGTGATATACCAAATGTTGTCAAGTGGCTGTTTCAAAGTAACCACATGAAAAGCCAAGTAGGTTATCACCAGCAGACTGTTAATGGGAAGAACTTGTGATATAAGTCAAATGTAGCAAGTACTAAACACTCTATTTGGCAACTAAGTCATGTTCTGGCAACGAACCAGCCACTTTTATCCACTATCTGCAGCCTGAAATAAACACGCCAAATAGCCGATTATAACTCCTGCCCAGAAGCAGCAGCAAGGACCTTCTCCTGGGCATTGCGTACATTATCATTCATGTTTTTATTCTCTGCTTTCAACCCATGTATTTCTTATCTAAGGATAAAAAAAGCCCCACTATACAAACAATTTATTCATATTAAGGGTTCTTAAATGACAAGGAAAAAAAGCAGTACAACTGTAAGATAAGTCGATTCAAAATATTTGTATTCTGCACCCAGCTTTCTCAGGGAATCATTCCAAATGCATGTTTAACAATGTATGACTCAAACGAACTTTTTGATTACTTGATTCCTTTAGCATGAATCTGGAGTGGCAATGCAGTGGCAGTAGTAACGAGTAGTAATGAGAAGAAGGAGACTGTGACAGTGACAATGGAGGTGGCAGCAGTAGCAGGATTGAAATAGCTCTAAATGAAAAGACAATGCCTCTGCTCACCCTCAGTGTGCAGGACATAGGCTTGGCTAATTTTCCCGGTGATTCCAATTTTTTCCTTCTTCCTTCCTCCCTCCTTCCCTTCCTTCCTCCTTCCTCCCTCAAAACTCAAGTTATAGGTCAAATAATTAACTTTCTCCTTCATCAAAATGCAACGTGTTCCATACACTGTGAGAATTCACTGTCCCTACATAAAAAACACAGGAAATCAAAAGGTATAATCAACTCCAGTCAAAACAATGGCTTCTTTCTCCTTCATCAAAATGCAACGTGTTCCATACACTGTGAGAATTCACTGGCCCTACATAAAAAACACAGGAAATCAAAAGGTATAATCAACTCCAGTCAAAACAATGGCTTCCTCCATTCCAGACAAGTGTTCATGTGGTTACACAACACCATAAGCAAATATATGTTCAAGAAAAAATATGGATGGTTACATGGAAAAGCCAGCAGCTGAGAGGACTTATTTTTGGAGAGAAAATACATTTTTATACTTTGAGTACACCCACACCTACAGATACATTTGTGTACACATATGTGTGCAAGTCCATGGTGGTTCCAAGCCAACTGATTAGGAGCACCCTGCCCATCCTGGGAGACAGTGCCATGGGCAAGGGAGGAGGGACTTTCTCTAGGGCATCAGCCCTGGGGAAGTGGTAAGCACCCATTTCAAGGGATTTCAGGCACTGGAAACAGAGGCTAATGGAAAGTGACTGTGAGCTTATGTGAGATTACCTGGGTCCTCCTCAAATAACCAAGAAGACTAAGGAGGTTGAGGGTTGGGGTACTAGGGTTGAGGGTTGGGGTACTACCAGCATGCAGGTAGGGCCTGAAAGCTGGAGAAATGTGGGATGCTAAGTCCTGGGAAAAGGCAGGTGGCATATCTATTTATCTCATGTCTTAGAACCCAGCAGAAGAGCCAATGGAACTGCTGGCAAGACTAAGAGATCTGTAATTGGAGACACATTTATAGAGCTAGGGATGTACCACTTTAAGAAATGCTGCATGAAAATCACCAAGAAGGATTTTTGAGAGACAAGCAAGGTGCAGAACTGTGTGAAGAATACAGACTCTTGCATAAATTGTTAAAAATCTATAAATAGATATATCTGGGGAAAAAAATCACAAGAAATTTTAACCTGTGGGGGAAAGGGTCTGTGGTCAGGAGGCAGAGGGGAGCTTTTGGTTTTCATTTTTGTACATTTCTATATTTTTCTGCTTGCATTTTCTAGCCATGTCATTTTATATTTTTTTATGTCAACCAAGGTTATCCAGCTGGTAAAATTATAGCCACTTTTAGTTTATATATGTATATAAAAATAATAAATATTACATCCATGAGTAAATAATGAAACAATTAACACAAATGCCTACTTAAACTAAATTGTCCAAGTTATCAGCAATTCCAGACTGTTGGCACATTTAAATCATGGGCTATTACGCAAGTATGTAAAATCATGTTTGCATACAATTAAATGAAAATGGTACAGTTTTAAGGGGGAAAAAGAGAAAATGTAAAATAATACATTAATTTTGTAAAAAGAAAAAATTCTTGCATAGAACAAAAATATATATAAAACAAACCCACCAAAATGTTTTATTTGGCAATAGAATGACTACTGATTTTACTTTTCTTCTTCATGCTTTCCTGGATCTGCCAACTTGTTTTCCTTGAACATATAACAAACAGAATATAAGGATATTTAAAACCAACTACAAAATATCAGAATGGTTCTTTAAACGTTTTGAGCAATAAGTTTTTGCTTTTTAAAGAGACTCATTGCAGGAAGAAATGCTCCTTTGTTGCTTCAAAGAGAAATAAATTTCTTAAAATTTAAATTTTAGGAGGCTGGGGGGAATGCAAAATTCTGTGCCTTAAAAAAATACTATACAGGGCAGACCCCGTGGCGCATTCGGGAGAGTGCGGCGCTCCCACCGTACAGGGCCGACCCCGTGGTGCACTTGGGAGAGTGCGGCGCTCCCACCGCGGGTTCGGATCCTATATAGGGATGGCCGGTGAGCTCACATACAGGGCAGACCCCGTGGCGCATTCGGGAGAGTGCGGCGCTCCCACCGCGGGTTCGGATCCTATATAGGGATGGCCGGTGAGCTCACTGGCTGAGTGCGGTGCGGGCGACACCAAGCCAAGGGTTGCGATCCCCTTACCAGTCACAAAAAAGACAAAAAAAAAAAAAATACTGTACAGCTTTCTCATGTTCACAAATTGTTATGACATTTACAAGACAAATGTTTGGAACCCTTTTCTTCAAAGGGCAAGGTTGTATAGATACAAAAAGCAGGAATTGGAAAATAAGCAAATGGAAAACTGGGTTAGGATGGGGAAGTTTGGCGGTGAAAAGTGAGGATTTTTTGAGAAATTTTGCATATTCCAATTCAAAAATGGAATCCACCTTAGCAACACAGACAAGTCACTGGTCACCATGACTTGATAAAGTCAGAGATGGCCTGAGCACAGGGAGCTGGATACTCACCTGCCTTTACCTTTGAACTGAGCTGCTTTTTAGTCATGGCTAGGCAGACCCAGAATGAGCAAGTACTGCTGAAACAACAGCTGCACCTTCTAGAGCAGACAACCAGAGAAGGGGTAGAGGAGGAGGAGAACTCAGGCCCTGAAGGTCACCCAACAGCCTTAATCCTAATGAAGCTCTTGCCTCCGAGCATGGCCAAGAGCTAATGGGGCCCTTAACTCCAGGCCTGCCAAGCCTGAGGATGACCAATGCCCAGAGGGAGCTTTATTGTGAGTTTTTACACAGTGCAGTACCCAGCACAAAAGTAGTCACTGACTGAACAACCAGTCTCTCTAACTCCACATCTGCTCTCCCTCCCATTTGGTTTCCACGCCGCAGCCAGAGCAACCTTCTTAAAATGCACATCTAACAGGACAAATTCCTTCCTCAGAATCCTTCAGTGCCTCCACATTGCCCTTCAAATAAAGCCCAAACTCCCTGATATCATGTACGAGGCCCTCCAGGGGACGATCTATTTCCTCTTCACCATCCCCCAGCCAAGCCTCAGCCCTGCCAAACCACTCCTGCTACTTCCTGGGACCAGGCTCTCTTTATACCTTCCCCATCTTTACTTATCCTCTTCCTCTGCTTGGAACACTCTTCCCACCCTAACTTTTCACCTGTTCAAGTCCTACTGAAGCCTTTAGATATCAGTGCCCTCCTACCCTCCTCTAGGAAGGCTTCTCTGACCCCTGAAGCCAGGTAAGTCTCCTACTTGCACTCTTAACTTGCTTATCTCCACAACTTGGCTGTGCGCTTAATTAAGACAAGAGCTCTGTGGTACCCACTATTGTATCTCTGGCCGCAGAACCAACTGTGTTGGCAATACCACATATTAACTTATTGAATGAATAAAAGAAAGAAGGAAGGAAGGAACCCTAAAGAGAGTGTCTTGTGTAAAAGAAAGAGGCCAGAGCAAGTGATGGCTGAGTACCTTTGGCTCTGGGATACTACAACAAAGAAATAAAAAGTGATGGATAAAGAATATACTAATTATCCTGATTTGAGCATCACATATTGCACACAAGTGTTAGATATTCAATGCTGTATCCCACAGATATGTAGAATCAATTATGCTTTGATACAAAAAAAAAGTGATGGAGAAGGTCTACATATAGCCACAAAATACCTAAAACATGCTTAGCCATCTTTACACTTTCAAATATCACCCAAAGGTATCTTTCTAGTTGTTTTCATTATAAAATTCTGAAATTCAGTTACTAATAAAGTTCTTTTCTCCATAAGACTTATTTCTGAAGTTTGTGTTATCCACACCTAAGGCATCAGTTAAAGTTGTTAGCTGAAGCAACAGAAACCACTCAGTCT